TCCTCTGCCAGCTGAGTCAGCGGCGCGGCCTGCGTGTGGGCCGGGGCTATGGTTCTGAGGCTGACGCCCTCGGAGCCCGGGAGCTGGGGGGCCGCTGGCTGGGCCAGACCCAGGGCAGCTGAGGCGCCTGTCCCAGGCCCCGCTGGGTGTGGGCTGTCGGGGGGCGGGGGGGGGGGCCCTGGTGGCCTCTCCACAGGCAGGCCGAGGGTGCCCAGAGTGTGAGTGCACCACGTGCCTCATGTTCTGTCCCCCTCTTGTCAGGCCTGACGAACCACGGACAGACCAGGCACATGGTAAGAGGAGGGCACACGTGTGCTCATGGCCCTGGGCTTGGGGAGGAGGTCCAGTGGGACCCGTGGAGGGCAGGCAGGGGGTGCAGGGTGGAGGCCCAGGGACACCCCTCACACCTCCCCTTGGCCAGGGACCAAGCCGGAACCTCCTGCTCAATGGGAAGTCATACCCCACCAAAGTGCGCCTCATCCGGGGGGGCTCCCTGCCCCCCGTGAAGCGGCGGCGGATGAACTGGATCGACGCCCCTGACGACGTGTTCTACATGGCCACCGAGGAGACCAGGTGGGGCCCCGGCCACACGGGCGGAGGCGGGGGGTTGGGGGGGTAGGCATGCGTCCTCCTCACGCGGGTGCTCTGCACTCACAGGAAAATCCGCAAGCTGCTCTCGTCCTCGGAGACCAAGCGCGCGGCCCGCAGGCCCTACAAGCCCATCGCCTTGCGCCAGAGCCAGGCCCTGCCGCTGCGGCCGCCCCCGCCCGCGCCCGTCAACGACGAGCCCATCGTCATTGAGGACTAGCCGCCCTGCCCGCCGCGCCCGGCGCCAACCACGGCCCGCCCTGCCCGCCGCGCCCGGCGCCGACCACGGCCCACCCCGCCTGCGCCCACCGCCCGCCCGGTTTTGGTAGTGCCCTCCCGCCCCCACCCGCAGAGAAGGCGCCCGCCCCGCGGGGCACTGCCCGGCCGCGTGGGGGCGACGCTGACTCCCGGCGGCGGGCGCCGATCTTAGCTTTGTGTTCCTTTTCGGCCGGAGCGGAGCGAGGGGCCGCCCAGCGCCCACACCACCCCGTGGGGCCCGGCGGCCGGAGTCCTGTTGTGTTCTGTTGAAGGTGCCGTTTTAAATTTTATTTTTATTACTTTTTTGTAGATGAACTTAAGCTCTGTACCTTACACCTGGAACGTCAGGGCCGGCGCAGCCGGCGGCCGAGCTGCCTGGCGGGCCGCCCCTTGTCTTTTCAAGTAATTTTCATATTAAAAAAAACAAAGGAAAAAAAACTCATAAAAAAGAAAAAAAACAAGTAGGCCTTCTTATGTCTTTTGTCTCTATTCCGCTCCCTGTCCGAGCCCCAGCCCCCACCCCCACCCCCACCCCGGCACCTCGGAGGAGCCGGCCCAGGAGGGACAGGCCGGGCGGGGGGTGGGGGGGGACAGGCCGGGCGGGGCCTGCTGGCCGGGCGGGTCACCCGGTGCGCTGTGGGTGGCTCTAGGCCCAGAGGACCACCCCCCCCAGGAGCCCCGGGGAGCAGCATGTGGCCCTTGGCTTTCCTGGCCTCCCTCCCTCACCTCGGCCCACACCTGCCTCCTTCAGGGCCTGGCCCAGCCCACCACCCTCCCGAGGGGCTGGGAAGAGGGCCGGTGGGGCTCCGGGCCCTCACGGCGGAGTGGACACTGTCTGAGGCAGGGTGGGTGGCCAGGGCCCCATCCACCGTGGCCGTGGGGCAGCCAGCACAGCTGGGGTGGCCGGCCCGCCGTCCTGCTCCTGGCAGAGCCCTGCCCAGCTGTCGCCACGGAGCCGGGGCCACCCCAGCGGGTGTGGTTTCCTCATGGGAATTCACTCAGATTTCAGCAAGGGCGTCTCAGAAACCCTACCTTGGGCATCCCCCGCACCCACCCACCTGCGGCCGCCAGCCCAGCCCGGAGGGGGCTGAGGGAGGGACACAGACGGACTCCCTCCTCCCGCCTGAGCCCCGCCTCCGCTCCCCAGCCTCCCCGTGAGGCATGCACATCTCGGCAGGGGCTGGAAATAGAAGCCACTGCTCACTGCTGGGGAGATAAGGGGCACCGGGCCTCCTTCTGACAACCTGTGAGGGAAGGCGGGTGACAGGCCGGGGTGTCGCAGGACGGCTCAGCACCCCGGCCCACTCCAACCTGCAGCCCTGCCCCCACAGCCCCCGCTGCCCAGGATGCAGACCAGAAGGTGACCTTGAGAGCTTCCCCGGGGGAGGGGGAGGCTCTGCCCAGGCCCTGCCCTCTGGCCCCCCAGCCCCCCTTCCCTCCTGAGGCTCAGGGCGTCCTCCCTGCCTGCTGCCGCCCAGGCCTGAGCAATGTGGCCCCTACCCTTCCTGCTGGGCAGACAGGCCCTGAGGTGTACCACCCCCCCACCCCCCCACCCCCGCCCAGGAGTGGGGAGTGGGCACACACTGGGGAGCAAGGGCCGAGTGCGCCATCCTTGGAGACCCTGCACGGGCTGCTGCCCTGTCGCCCCGGGGCCAAGGCCATCTCATGCCGACTAGAGTGGTCCCCACGGGGCCCTGCCTGCCGAGCCCCCCACACCCTTGGGGAGCCCAGCCTGGGTGCCGCAGACGGAGCTCCAGGATCCTGATGTCATCTGCCAATGTTGCCAGGACGACGGGGCACAGGAAGACTGGTGATCCGGTGGATGCCATGCCACTGTGGCCCCAGGGGAGGGATCTGCCCCCACGCCTGGCCCCGCCACCTCAGGGCCCTGCCTGCTCACTTGGAGCCTCCCTGGTCCCTGTCACCCTCAGTGGCCTCAGGTGGACGCTGTTGCTCTGTGTCCATGGGTCAGTGACCCTGCCCACCAGGTCCAGAATAGCCCTGGGGCAGGAGGGAGCCTGAGATCTGGGGCCTGGGGCTGTGGCTGGGGGCAGGGCACTGTCCCGTGCTCTCCAGGGCACCTGGCCAGGGCCAGATGCCATTCCTTGGACCCACCCTGTTCTCTCTCCAGGCAGGGCTGGGCCCGGGACCTCCCCCCAGACACCTGTGCGGGCCAGGCCGCCTCCACAGCGGTCAGTCCTGCCACTGTCAGAGGTGGAGTGGCAGGAGGGAGGGAGCCTGGCCGGGGGCATGGTAACTGCCACTTGGCGGGCACCGGGCCAGGAATTAAATTATTCAGGGACACCTGAACCGGCCTGAGCAAGGAGCAGGCTGAGAATGAGTGACCTGGGTGAGCCCCACAGCTGGCCACCCTGTCCAGGAAGGGACCGAGGCCTCCTGCCCGCCTCTGCCTGGGCTGGCTCGGCGCCAGAGCCGGGCCCGGAGGGGGCTGGTCAGGCTGGTCGGTCAGGCTCCGGGGAATCTTGTGTTTCAGTGGCTGTAGGGTGTGAGTGTGCAGGGGCGGGGGGGGGGGGGGGGTAGCCACCCCAAGGAGCTGGCCAGGGCAGGGTGCCAGGAACCCTGGGTTCGGGAGGTTGGGGACACTGGCTGCTCCTCCACTCCACTGGTGAGGGATGGCGCCAGGCCCCGCCCCAGTCTTCGGCAGAGGAGAGTGGGTGAGGGGTGCTGGTCCTGTCACCTGGGCCTGGAGGGGTCTGTCCGCCCGACAGGTTGAGGCTCAGCTGGGGCTGGGGGCCCAGACAAGGGCCTATGGTGAGGGGAGCCCCCGAGAGGAGGGCGGAGGGTCCTCCAGGTCCCCCCAGGTGGGAGTGCGGCGGGGTTAGGGTAGATCCTGCAGGCTCGGGTGGGCGCGGGTAGGTGGGCGTGGCCGGCAGCCCCTGTAGGGGGAGGGCTGCAGGGCCCTAGTCGCCCCCCCACACCCCCGCCTCCCCCTCCATGACGCTCTGAGGCCAAGAGGCTGGAGGTGGGAGGCTCTGGGCCCTGCTGGTGGGTCCAGGAGAGGGATGCGCCGGCCGGGCTCCAGCGGAGTGGGGCGCCCCTCCCCGCGCTCCCCATCTCCCCCCCTGTCCGCCCCTACCACCCCCTGGAGGGCATAGAACACCTTCCGCCCCAGCCAGCCCCGCGAGCCCCGGCGCCGGCCGCCCCCTCCCCGCCCCTTCCAGCAGCTTCTCTCGCGCTGTTTTTGGAAGCGGCGGGCGCCCTGCCCTCCACCCGCTGCGCCCTCGGCACCACGGACGGTGTGGGGCGGGGCGCGGGGGGGGGGCGGTCTTGGGCCGCGTGGCCGACCCGCCAGGAATTCGGCTCGGATCCCGCCGCGCGGCCGTTGCTATAGAAACCGAGCAACAAAGGGATGAGGGGCGCGCGACAGGGTGGGGGTGGGGTCCTCTGGGGGAGCCCGGGCGCCTGGGCCGGGTGTGGCGGGCGGGCCTGCCGTCGGGCGTCCGTCTGCTTGACCAGTGGACGCCCTTCCGGACCCAGGCCCCGCTGGCCCGGACGCCCCCAACCGAGGGGGCCGCGCACTCCCTGTCCCGCCCCGCCCCGCCCCGCCCCGCAGCCCCGACGTTGCCATGGAAACAGGCAAGGCGCGGTCAGACCAAGGCAGAGGCCGCCTCGTGCGCGGGGCCGGGGGGCGCCAGGCAGGTCCAGCCGCCCCCGGCCCGTCGCCTGGCAGGTGCACCCCCGCCCCGGCAGCGCCCCCACTCCAGGCTACGGAGCCCGGGGGGCGGGATCCCGACGCCCCGCCCCGGCCGCGGAGCCAATGGGCGCGCGGACAGCCCGGCGGGCGGGGCGGGCGGGGCGGGCGGGGCGGCCAAGGCGGCGGCGGCGACGCGGAGACGGGCGCGGGCCGAGGGCGCGAGCCGACCGGGTGCACCGACGACCATGGCCTCCAAGTGCCCCAAGTGCGACAAGACCGTGTACTTTGGTGAGTGCCCGGCCCGGCCGCGCCCGGCCCGCCCCGCGCAGCCTCGGCTGCAGCCCGCGCCGCCCCGCGGAGCCCCGTGCGCCCGGCCGCCGCCCTGGGATGCGCGGCCCCCGTCGGATCCGCCGCGCGGCCCGTTCGGGTGCGGCCGGGGCTGGAGCTGAGCCGGGGTGGGGGCGGCCACGCCCGGACCCAGAAACGGCCGGTGGGGGGTGGGGCGCGGGCGCGCGTGGCCCCCGGGATGAGGCCGGAGTTGGGGGAGCGTCCCGGGTCCCGGGCGCGTCGCGGTCTCGGGAGGCGCCGAGCGGAGCGCGGGTCAGGCGGGCCCCGTGCTCGGAGCGCCTCCCTCGCTCTCCGACTTTCTGGGACCTTTCCCGCGCACCCCGCTTCGCCCACCCGCGCACACATGACATGGCCCGGCCGGCGTGGCCCCAGAGAACCCCCACCCTCACTCTGGCCTCAGCCCACGCTGGGCCGGGGCAGATCCGGGCTCGCTCTGGACTCGGGCCACGCGGGGGCGGCCTTGGCCTCTTCCCCCGCGTGTCCCAACCTGCTTCCTTGGTGCGAGTCCCCCAGGACTTCCCCACGGGCGGAGCGGGGCACGAGCGAGTTCCCCTGACCGCCCCCCGGTCAGAACAGCCCAGGACAGAAGCGGGCAGAGGGGCGGGGGTTGGCGCTCTCCCATCCCCGCTCCGCCCCTCCCACCCGCCTGCGAAGAGGGGAGACCTGGCCAGAAGGCAGGATGGCCAGACGGGTGGGGACAGACAAGGGCCCCTTTCCTGGTCACCCTGGAGCAGTGGTCAGGGGCCAGGGTGGGGACAGGCCGAGTGAGGGAAGCCTCCTGGCCTCCCTGCTGACGGCCCGGGGCCGGAGGAGGCGGCGGCCAGCGGTTGTTTGCTGTTCCCAGAGGGAGGGACCGGATTTGGCCTGGAGAGCCGCTGGCCTGGCCGGGAGCCGAGGGGCTTCCTGCCGCCGCCGCCTCCCAGGAGCCCTCAGCCCTCGGTCCACCCCAGCGAGGGCTCCTGCCGGGGGTGCAGGGCAGGAGACAGCCCCCGGGTCCTCCTGCCCACCCTGCTGCCAGGTTTGCCCCCAGCTGCCCTCCCGCTGGGTGGACAGTCCTGTAGATGAGGCGGAAAAATGCGCTGCCAGCCTGGGCGGCTGGGCTCCTAGCAGGAAACAAAGGCGCTCAGACCCGCTGGCGGCTGTCCTGGCCGGAGGCGCTGGCGGCGGAGGGGGGGCGGGATCCTGCCCACCGCCCAGCAGGCTGCGCCCCAGCACCCTCTCCTCAGTAGCCGACACCTGAGTGTGAGCAGAGTGGGACGGGGATACTGTGCCTTTGTGTCCCCAACAATGGTGCGGCCAGGTGGGGTGGCCGTTCCTTTCCAAGCCATAGGCCCCGTGAAGTCTGTCTCCCCAGCTCGGCCAGCAATGTGCGGCTGTTGACCTGTCCCTGGGTCTAAGGGTCATCCCCTGCCCTGAGTGGCCACGTCCCAGAACCCCAGGTGCAGGTGGCGGTGGTGACCCTGACCTGGCCAGGGGAACGGGCGAGGACTCGGCTGGCACCGTCCGAACAGCCTTGGGCTCCCGAGCTCCCGCCTTGCCCTGGTGGGGGACTGAGGGACCCTAGGGGAGGCCCGGCCCAGCAACACCTCTGTGTGAGGCGGACAGAGCTGCTGGCCGCCTGCCCCCACCCGGAATTCCGGCTGCTCCCCGGCCTTTCTTCCTGCCCTCTCCTCGGCCCTTTTCCTGCCATGCACCCTGGAGAGCCCCCCACTTCCCTTCGTTAGGAGATGGCCAAGCAGCCCCAGCACCGTGTGGGGGGATGGGGAGGGGGCCGGCCGACCCTCAGCAGCTGGTCCCAGACCCCGGGCTCCACAGCAGCAGCTGGAGGCAGTGGGTGGGGACGCTCAGGGCCAAGTGCAGACAGGCAGGCTCCTGTCCCTCGGTCCCTCCTGGGGGTGGAACTGGCCTCCCCACAGGGGTCTGGAGGCTCAGGGCCTCTCCCCCAGACCGGGGCCTCTGCCAGCTCCACCGGAGCCTGACTGGGGGTTCGGGGCTGGTCAGGGATGTGTGTGAGGGAGACGGTGAGGCAGGTGTGATGCTGGGGTTACTGATGACCCTCCAGCTCACAGCCCTGGGGCAGTGAGGGCCACCCAGACCAGGGGGACAGCGTGGGCCCTGAGGAGGAGAGGGGGTGCATGGCGGGCTCTGACCTCCTGTCCCCCCAGCTGAGAAGGTGAGCTCGCTGGGCAAGGACTGGCACAAGTTCTGCCTGAAGTGTGAGCGCTGCAGCAAGACGCTGACGCCCGGGGGCCATGCCGAGGTGAGCCTCCCTCTGGGGCTGGGCTGGGGCCACATGGCTCTCCCCCCGCGCGGGTCGGGGGTCAGTGGGCCCAGGCACCGCCCTCACCCCGTGCCCCATGCCCTCCACCTAGCATGACGGGAAGCCGTTCTGCCACAAGCCCTGCTATGCCACGCTGTTCGGACCCAAAGGTGAGCCCAGGTGGCCACCCCGCTGGCTCTGCTCTGGCTGCCGGGGAGAGGGTGTGTGTGGGGGGCCTGGGGGGCCCTTTCCAGGACTGTCCCAGCTCACGGTGCCCCCTGGGAGAGGGTCCTGACCCCAATAGGATGGGCCGTAGAGAGCCATTTTCTTTTCTTTCTTTCTTTTTTTTTTTAAACATATTTTATTGATTTTTTACAGAGAGGAAGGGAGAGAGAGAGCTAGAAACATCGATGAGAGAGAAACATCGATCAGCTGCCTCCTGCACATCTCCCACTGGGGATGTGCCCGCAACCCAGGTACATGCCCCCGACCGGAATCGAACCTGGGACCTTTCAGTCCGCAGGCCGACGCTCTATCCACTGAGCCAAACTGGTTTCGGCCTTTTCTTTCTTTTTTTTAAAAAAATATTATTATTGCCCTGGTCGGTGTGGCTCAGTGGATAGAGCATCCGCCTGCAGACTGAAGGTTCTTGGGTTCAGTTCCGGTCAAGGGCACATGCCCTGGTTGCGGGCTCAATCCACGATAGGGACATGCTGGAGGCAGCCAATCAATGATTCTCTCTCATCATTGGTGTTTCAATCTCTCCCTTCCTCTCTCTGAAATAAATAAAAAATATTTTAAAAATAAATAAATATTATTATTCATTTCAGAGAGGAAGGGAGAGAGATAGAAACATCAAGGTTGAGAGAGAATCATTGATCAGCTGCCTCCTGCACACCCCACACCAGGGATGGAGCCCGCAACCCGGGCACGTGCCCTGACCGGGAATCGAACTGTGACCTCCTGGTTCATAGGTTGATGCTCAATCACAGCCCCGCTGGCCGGGCTGAGGGCCATTTTCTGAGAAGCTGGGTGCGGTGTGAGCCCTGGGTGGTGGGCGAGGGCACGGGCCACCCCCCCACACACCGTGCCTGCCTCCCCCCAGGTGTGAACATCGGGGGTGCCGGCTCCTACATCTACGAGAAGCCCGCTGTAGAGGGCCCACAGGTCACTGGCCCCATCGAGGTGCCCGTGGCCCGAGCGGAGGAGCGGAAGGCGAGTGGCCCCCCAAAGGGGCCCAGCAAAGGTGGGCCGGGCTCTGCGTGGAGGGGGAGGTTCGGGAGCCCCTTGGCAGCCCTGACTCGCCTCCCCCCACAGCCTCCAGCGTCACCACCTTCACTGGGGAGCCCAACATGTGTCCTCGCTGCAACAAGAGGGTCTACTTCGGTGAGTGAGCGCCCAGCCCCGCCTCGCCTGGGGAGGGGCCCGCCTGGGGAGCTGCCTGCCCAGGGCCTCGGGTCACCCTCTCCCCCTCCCCAGCCGAGAAGGTGACTTCTCTGGGCAAGGACTGGCACCGGCCGTGCCTGCGCTGTGAGCGCTGCGGGAAGACGCTGACCCCGGGCGGGCACGCGGAGGTGAGGGACGCGCACAGGCTCGCCCAGGGGGCCGGGCTGGACGGGAGGGTCCTGGGCGGGGCGCGCGGGTGGGGATGTGGGGGGGCCGGGCGTTGGGGAGGAGCCTGAGAGGGGCGCCCGGGAGGGGATGTGGGGGGGGGGGGCCGGGCTTTGTGGAGGGGCCTGGGAGGGGCGCGCGGGTGGGGATGTGTGGGGGGGAGCGGGCTGGACGGAGGGGCCTGGGAGGGGCGCCCGGGAGGGGATGCGGGAGGGGGGGGGCAGGCGTTGGGGAGGGGCCTGGGAGGGGCGCCCGGGAGGGGATGCGGGAGGGGGGGGGCAGGCGTTGGGGAGGGGCCGGGGAGGGGCGCCCGGGAGGGGATGCGGGAGGGGGGGGCAGGCGTTGGGGAGGGGCCTGGGAGGGGCGCCCGGGAGGGGATGCGGGAGGGGGGGGCAGGCGTTGGGGAGGGGCCTGGGAGGAGCGCGCGGTGGGGCCCCGGGGCTCCGACCCGAGGGCCGCGCCTGGCGGTGGGGCCTGCCCCCTGGTGGCCAGCGCGGAGGCTCGGTGGCATCGCGCTGTCGGCCCGCCCCGGCCCCCGCCACCGAGCCAGGGGGCTGGTCCTGGCTTTGGGAGCTTTCGGCCCCGGGATGTGTGTGAGGAGGAAGCCACCAGAGCGGGTGGGGACAGGGGAGTCGGGGGACCCCCACCTTACCCCCTCCTGCCCCCAGCACGATGGCCAGCCCTACTGCCACAAGCCCTGCTACGGAATCCTCTTCGGACCCAAGGGTGAGTGTGGCCCGGCGGGTGGGGAACCCGGGCCCCCTCCCCCCCCTCCGCACCCCCAGCACCCCCTTTTGGCCGTTCTCCACAGGAGTGAACACTGGAGCTGTGGGCAGCTACATCTACGACAGGGACCCCGAGGGCAAAGCCCAGCCCTAGGATCCTGCCTGCCCAGGGCCCACTGCTGGGCCCCGGGGGGACCGTGCCCAGCGGCCCAGTCCTGCCTCAGTTGGTCCGGGCCCAAGTCCGGGGCCTGCGTGTTGGGGGAGGAGGACGCCCACGGGCTTCTCCAGAAGAGGCCGCCACCCATGTCCCTAGAGGCGCCTGCCTGTGCCCGCACCGCGACCCCCTTGTGTGTCCTTGGGCCTCCCTGCCTGTGCGACCCACGTGTCTTCATGTCTGTCTCCTGGCCCCGCGTGTCCCCACGGGCCTGGGCGAGCCTCACACTCCCCCTCCTGCTGCCCACGCCTCCCACTGTTATTTATCACCCTTGGCCGGGCGGCCACACCACGCCCCGTGTGTCCCCGGACGGGCCCTCTGCTGTCTCCCACGCTCCTCCCAGGCACCGCCCACCACCCTCCCGTGGCTCACACGCAACGCAGACTTTTGCTCAATAAAATGTTTGAGGATCGCTGGACCAGCGCCGTGCTTCTGGCTGTGGGAGGGACCTGAGCGCAGCACAGGGCCCCGTCTCCGTCCCACCCACGAGGGCTCCCGGCGAGCCTGGCCCGGCTTCTGGGGCAGCAGGTCCTGTTCCCAAGGTTGGCGGTGGCGGGAGGGAGGCTGTTTTGAGCTGTGGGGCCCACACAGGGTGGTGGGAGGCCTCCTGGGAGTGGGGTCCAGGAGTGGAGAGGGGCCTTGATTGCTGAGGTCACCTCCCTGGAGCCTAGGGCTGAGCCTGGACCCCGGGAAATGCCAGCGCTGGGCGTCTGTCAGGAGATGCCTGGGGCCATCAGAGACCCCAGGGTGCGGGAGGGGCCAGCCTGGGCACAGTGGCAGGAGGTATGCCACGTGGGTCTGGGGGGTGGGGAGACAGGTGAGCAGAGGGGTGGATGGCGTGAGGGGGCCTTCAGCCCGGACTGAGCCTGGAATCCCGAGTCTGCCCCCTCTGCTGTGGCTTTCATCGGCTGGGCTAGCAACCTGGTTACCATGGCGGCCAGCCTGCCTCAGCGCTGGTGGTGGCCCAAGAGCGTGCCCAGCCAGCGTCCCCGAGTCTGTGGCTGCGGTAGTGGCGGCGTGGTTGAGGCCTCCCCAGGCGGGGGCTGCAATGCTCTCCCCATTTCAACCGGACCCCCTGGGAGCTCCGAGGAGCCCGCTCCTGGCGGCACATTTCCCTGTAGCTGCAGCTCCTGGGCACCCCGCCAGAGGGCGCGCCTTCCCTGCCCCAGGGCGCCCAGGGGCAGGGACCGCGCAGACCTCCCCGGCCCCCCGGCCCCCAGCACCGGCCCCCAGGTGCCTCTCCCTCCGCGGAGGCCTGGGCGTCTGGGTCTGGTCATCTCCGAGCCGCGGACGGCCGCCCCTCCTGTGCCCCGCACCCTGGCCCTGGACACCGGCCCCTCCCCGCCCACCCAGTTCGCGGCTCAGGCTGAACCTGATGCCAGGCCCTTTGTCCGACGGGCAGCCATCCGTGTCCCTGGGGGCGGAGCGACGGGCTCCGATGTCCGGTAAGGCCCGGCCCCGCCGGGCGCCCAGCGTCCCCCCCACCTGGCCGGAGCCGGGGGTGCGGCCAGGGGTGAAGGGCGGGGGGGGGGGGAGGGCAGGTAACCCCGGCCCCACCCCGGCAGGGCCGGACAGGTAGGGACGCCGACGCGCGCTCGAGGGGCGGGCACCGCCCCTCCCCGTCCCAGCGCCCCAGGGAGAACCGACTCCCCGAGCGCCCCCGCCGCGGCCCGGGGCGGCTCCCGGTGTCCGATGGGAAATTCCTGCGCTGGCGGCGGGGGGCGGCGGGGGCGCAGCCGGGCCCTCCCTCGGGAGCCTGCATGGAAACTATGCGGGAGGAGACGCGGTGCCGGGCGCGCCGGGCCCCAAACTGGGGGCGGGGCGGGGAGGGGGGTGGCGGGACCCACGTGCACGGAAGGCCCGCCCAGCCCCGCGTGGGAGGGGGGGCAGTGGTCGCCTGAACGCGGAGCACTCCCGCCCCCACCGTCTGGCCAAGGAGGGCGCGCCCCGTTTCCTGCGGGCGGAGGATGACGCGCCGCCGTATTTGTTTCCAAGGGGTTGTTATGGAAACCGGGGCGGGGCCGCTACTGTGGGGCTTGGCGAGGCTTCCCTGGCGCGTAGGTGGGGGACGGGGCCCCCCAGCGAGACAGGTGCTTCCTCCTCCGGCTCCCGAAGCCCTGGCCGCATCCGCAAGAGGCAGGGGACGTGCCCCCGCCGGTTGGCTCAGTGGGTAGAGCGCAGGCCTGCGGACTGAAGGCTCTCCGGTTCCATTCCTGGTTAGGGCACATGCCGGGGTTGTGGGCTGATCCGGATCAATAGTCTCTCTCATCATTGATGTTTCTATCTCTCCCTCTCCCTTCCTCCCTGAAATAAAAATATATTTACAAAAATAAACGATGCCGAAACCGGTTTGGCTCAGTGGATAGAGCGTCGGCCTGCGGACTGAAAGGTCCCAGGTTCGATTCCGGTCAAGGGCATGTGCCTGGGTTTCGGGCATATCCCCAGTAGGAGATGTGCAGGAGGCAGCTGATCGATGTTTCTCTCTCATCGATGTTTCTGACTCTCTATCTCTCTCCCTTCCTCTCTGTAAAAAATCAATAAAATATATTAAAAAATAAAAAAATAAAAAAAATAAGCGATGCACGACCCCTGACCCCTGCTCAGCCAGCGAGGCGGCCCTGAAATGCCATCTGACCACCACCTTGCTGTACCCCCAAACCCCAGGGCTGCGCACAACACCTGACCTCCTTCACCGTCCTGCGCCCCAACCGCCCCCCACCTCCCACTGGTCCAGCTTTCCCATGACTCCTGGCCGGGCCCCTCTAGGTCCCTGCCGCACCCCCTACCTCTGACCTGGGCTGGTGGGGCCCTCTGGCGGGTGCCCCCACTACCCCAGTTCCCTGAGGCCCCCAATTCTCTGGGCAGCCCGCCCCTGCTCCTTGTGGACCCCATGCAGCTCAGACTGGACTCCCTGAACTTCTTAGGAGGGTGGGTGGGGGGTGGGGTGCTCTGCCCTGGGTCTGAGCACCAGCTGCCCATTGGCTGTGGCCCGGGGCTGAGTGCCAGGGCCCCTGGGGGCGAGGTCGGGCGCGGGCTGATGGTTCCAGGGCCAGGTGTGGGCAGCACATTTTCCCAGGCCGGCCTGGCTGTGGGGTGGGCTCGGGGCCCACCAGCAGGCCCAGCAGCTGGCCTGGTGTGGGTGGAATTCGAGGCAGTTTTGCATGGGCTTTGGCTCCAGCACGCAGATTCCTGGAACCAGGCTCAGCTGCGCTGTGGGGAGGGCCCCTCTGGCCTCTCTGTGGACCCCAGGCTGGCCGAGGGAGCTCACGGCTGCAGCGCCCCCGCCCTCTGCATGCCAGGCCCTCCCGAGAGGAGCCTTTCTCCCCTGTGGGCCCAGCAGAACCTTTCTGGGAAAGGGCATCTGTCTGCCCCTCCCCCAGGCCTCAGGGCCAAGAGGGGCGTTGGGCCCAGCAGGCCTGCCCTGGGACCAGACCTTGGGGCAGACAGGGGTTCCCCGGAGACAAAAGCTGCTGAAAATAGGCCCTGGGAATGTCTGAGTCCTTCACTCGGCTAGGCCTGGGGGGCGGCAGGGCTGGAGCCGCAGGAGCTGCTCTGGTCTCCAGGCTCTGCGTCCTGGGCACGTATTGACTGCTCAGGGCACCTGTGTGTGTGCAAGAGCAGGGGACATTCTTGCACCTGTCCACACCCCTGGCTCATTGGGACCGAGCAGCCCGAGCAGCTGACCTGGAGGCCAGGGCGGGGCGCTGGGCGTGGCTTCGGGGGTGAGGCCTGAGGCCGGAGCACGTGCTGCCCAGCCCTGAGGAGCAGAACTTTCCCCGTGGGGTGGGCGGCTGCTGTGTGGATTCCTCAGAGGTCACTGGCCCAGCCCTGCCGCCAGGCCTGCGGCCTCCAGGAGGCAGGTCCTGCCTGGTTCCCGCCTGCCCCCGCCCAGCCTCAGTGGCCTGTGAGGATGGGGAGGGGTGCAGAGGGAAGGGAGCAGGTGGCGGCGGCCTTGGCTCTGTACCCAGGACCCTGCTTTGGCCTCCCCAGAGCTCAGGCCCTCGGTACCCTCCTGCTGTGCTGGCACAGCGCTGGTGTTCTGGGCACAGGAGCAGCCGGGGGCACGCAGCTGGGTGCTTTGTGTCCTAGCCTGGCCGCTCTGTCCTTCATGCTGCAGACAAGGCCCTGGGGCCTGCTGGCCGCTGCTGGGAGCACTGGGCGGGCAAGTTGGGGCCGCACCTTGGGGTATGTGAGGGGGTTCAGTTCTTCCATTTGTTCCTGCAACATGTGCCACTAGCACCCACAAAAGAGTGGGGTCAGGGGTGGAGGGCCTGACAAGGCCCTGCACTGGCCCCTGGTCCTGCGTCCAGTGGACCCAGGTGGATCGGGTCAGCACCGCTCCCCACTGCATCCTGGGCCGGTACCCTGGCACAAGCAGGAGGCCTGCACCTGGTGGGGCCCAGGGCTGGGGGGTGCCGAGAGGCCACGCCTCAGACGGAAATGGAGTCTGGGGGAGGCAGGGGCTGTCCACCACGGCCCCCCGGAGCTGGTATGGGGCCCCCCACTCCATGGGCAGGCGGGAAAGATTGGGGGCTCAGGGGAATTGGAGGGGCACACCAGCCTGTGGATGAAGCTTTGGGAGGGCTCGTGTGTGTGTGTGTGTGTGTGTGTGTGTGTGTGTGTGTCCCTGAGTGTGTGTGTCCCTGAGTGTGTGTGTGTCCCTGAGTTTGTGTGTGTCCCTGAGTGTGTGTGTCCCTGAGTGTGTGTGTGTGTCCCTGAGTGTGTGTGTCCCTGAGTGTGTGTGTGTGTCCCTGAGTGTGTGTGTGTCCCTGAGTGTGTGTGTCCCTGAGTGTGTGTCCCTGTGTGTCCCTGAGTGTGTGTCCCTGAGTGTGTGTGTGTGTCCCTGAGTGTGTGTCCCTGAGTGTGTGTGTCCCTGAGTGTGTGTGTCCCTGAGTGTGTGTGTGTCCCTGAGTGTGTGTCCCTGAGTGTGTGTCCCTGAGTGTGTGTGTGTCCCTGAGTGTGTGCCCTGAGTGTGTGTGTGTCCCTGAGTGTGTGTGTCCCGTGTGTCCCTGAGTGTGTGTGTCCCTGTGTGTCCCTGAGTGTGTGTCCCTGAGTGTGTGTCCCTGAGTGTGTGTGTGTCCCTGAGTGTGTGTGTGTCCCTGAGTGTGTGTCCCTGTGTGTCCCTGAGTGGTGTCCTGAGTGTGTGTGTGTGTCCCTGAGTGTGTGTGTGTCCCTGAGTGTGTGTGTCCCTGTGTGTCCCTGAGTGTTTGTCCCTGAGTGTGTGTGTGTCCCTGAGTGTGTGTATCCCTGTGTGTCCCTGCGTGTGTGTGTGTCCCTGAGTGTGTGTGTGTCCCTGAGTGTGTGTGTCCCTGTGTGTCCCTGAGTGTGTGTCCCTGAGTGTGTGTGTGTCCCTGAGTGTGTGTGTCCCTGTGTGTCCCTGAGTGTGTGTCCCTGAGTGTGTGTGTGTCCCTGAGTGTGTGTGTGTCCCTGAGTGTGTGTCCCTGAGTGTGTGTGTGTCCCTGAGTGTGTGTGTCCCTGTGTGTCCCTGAGTGTGTGTCCCTGAGTGTGTGTGTGTCCCTGAGTGTGTGTGTGTCCCTGAGTGTGTGTGTCCCTGTGTGTCCCTGAGTGTGTGTCCCTGAGTGTGTGTGTGTCCCTGAGTGTGTGTGTGTCCCTGAGTGTGTGTGTGTGTGAATCCAGTGTTGGAAAAACCACGCTGCGTACCAACCAGAGGGCGAGGCCATGGCCCTCTCCCCTGCCCCTGTGTTTCCCGCCCTGTGACCATGGCAACGGCAATAACAGCAGGACTCATCACCCAGGTTTTCAAGGGGGGGCTTCCACACAGGGTGAGGTTGGAGTTGCAGTGGGAGGAGGGGAGAGGAGGACGGACGCTGGTGCACTGCCCCCCTGCCCTGAGCTGGGGCGTGGGTGGGTGGGTGGGGTGTGGGCTGGGCAGAGATATGGGAAGCCAAGTTGTCTGAGAGGAGCCTGTGCCCCCAGCCACAGGTGAGCCCACAGACAAGGACACACACACACACACACACACACACACACACACACACACGCGGCCGCACAAGTCCGCGCACCCATCACTGGCTGACCCTCTAGACCAGCGGTTCTCATCGAACGACCCTTTCACAGGGGTCGCCTAAGACCATCCTGCATATCAGATACTTACACTACGATTCATAACAGTAGCCACATTACAGTTATGAAGTAGCAACGAAAATAATGTTATGGTCAGGTCACAACATGAGGAACTGTCTTTAAAGGGCCAGAGGGTTGAGAACCACTGCTGTAGACGGAGCCGCCTGGCCCAAGGCCTCCCCCAGCGCACCAGGGAGGCCGCTTCCTGGGACCTGCAGGTGGTGTGTGCAGCCTGTGTGGCCTGGGACAGAAGCCCATCTCCCCCCTGCCCTGCCCCCATGACCACTGGCCTCCTCCTTCCTCCTGTGCTCGGGGATCCGGAGCCAGGAGATGACAGCACTCAGGGCCCGCCCTGTGGCTCCGCGGCCGCTGCCTCCGCGAAGGCCTGGGCGGCACCCAGGGCGGCGGGAGCACGGGGAGCGTCCGGCCAGTGGCCTTTGCTCCAGGGACCACAGTGAGGTGCCCAAGTGCCGGCAGATAGGGCCGCGGCCCCCGTGTGGCAGGAGCAGACCAGGGAGGGTGGGCGGGCGGGAGACTGGGGGTCCCACCAGGGCAGAGCAGGCACCCTGCTCCCGAGGGCAGGGGACAGCCAGCCACTGAGGGGTCCCAGGACCCGGGGCCTGAGACAGAAGCCCATCTCCCCCACTGCCCTGCCCCCATGACCACTGGCCTCCTCCTTTCTCCTGTGCTCGGGGATCCGGAGCCAGGAGATGACAGCACTCAGGGCACACAGGCTGCACACACCACCTGCAGATCCCAGGCAGCGGCCCCCCTGGTGCGCTGGGCGGAGGCCTTGGTGCCAGGCGGCTCCGTCTACAGCAGTGGTTCTCAACCTTCTGGCCCTTTAAATACAGAGCCCCAGAGGGGGCAGAACGGCGGCCTCAGAGGGGGGGTCCCGGGGAGGAGGGAGCCAGCTGAGAGAGGTGGGGGCGCAGGCCATGGGGCATGGGGTCTAGCGTGGCACCCTCACAGACAGGAGACTCTGGGGTGTGGCCTCCATCACCCATGAACCCTGGGAGCTCCCACCCTCATACAAGCTGGGCTCCTGGGGTGGGTGGAGGTGTTGAGATGGGGGCTCCCAGGATCCGGCTGCAGGGCTTGGGGGCAGGCAGGTGGGCTTCAGGGAGGGGGAGGCCAGGAGCCCCTGAGCCCTGTGGGAAGGTGGTCCCCTCCACAGGGACGCGGAGAGGGGCCCAGGGATGATGTGCTTTGGGGGATGGGTGTGTTGAGGGGAGATGAGGACGCTGGTAGGGGTGGTGGCCCGGGGAGGAGCCCTAGGCAGAGGGGAGGGAAAGCTGGGGCAGGCGGGGGGAGGGCTGGTGAAGCCAAGAAGCTGGGTGTGGCACGGGCGCTTGGGAGCAGGGGGGACAGCCCCTCCCCCAGCACAGACCGGGAGGGCCTGAGTGACAAGGCGGGAGCGGGGTTGAGGATTTTCAGGGAGCGTCCCCCGTGTCCCACCTGCACCCTGGCGCTGGCGGTGCAAGGATGGCTGGGGACCCCGGGCCCAGCCCCAGCCCCCTGGACCCACCCCATTCCCTGGGTGGGCGGGTCCCCAGGTCTCTGCCTGGCACGGGGAGGCGTGGGCCAGCGTGTCCAGGTCAGCGAACTCGGGCGCCCCGCCCCTAGGCGCTTCCCCGGAGAAGAGGACACCCCCACCCCCACCCCACCCCCACCCCGGGGGCTGGACTCTGGAGACAGCCTAGGTGGGGCGCCCACCATCCCCCCAGCCCCGGGCCCAGCCGTGCTGTCTCCCGAAAGGGGGGACCCGCCCCCCTGCAGTTCCCTCTCCGAATCCCTCCGGGACGTCCCCACTGCGCGATGGGATTCCCAGGGGGTGGGTGTCCCGCGGAGGGGCGGGCCCGGGTGGGGAAGGCCTGGGGGAGTTCCTGGGGGAGTTCCTGGTGGCCTCCCCGCCCTCCCCCCCCCCCCGCGGGCTCCCCGGCGGCTCCAGCCTCTGCCCCAGGGACTGGGAGGGAGTGGGGTGTGGCCGCACCTGCCGGCCTCTCACAGGTGAGCCCTCCCGCCCGCTCCCGCCCGTCCCCTGGGGCTCCAGCCGGTGGGGAGCCCCGTGCGCACATCCTGGACTCGGCGGACGCCGCCCGGGGCCAGGGGTGGGGCTGGGCCCCGGGGTCCCCACGGTCGCCCGCGCACCGAGCCTAGCGGTCCGCTCCGCCAAGCCCGGCGCCTGCCCGGAGGTGGGGATGGGCCCGGCTGACCTTTCTCCGCCCCCCGACTTGGAGCCGAGGTCCTTGGGTCCCGGCCCAGAGTTGGGGGGCGGGGCGCGAGGGGCGGACCTCCCAGAGGCGGGGTCCCAGGTTCCCTGAAAGGCGAGCGCCCCGCGGGACCCACCCAGTCCGCGCGCCTCCCGGTTCCCGCCGTCCGTCCGTCCGCCCGCGCCGCCGCCGCCATGCCCAAGTGCCCCAAGTGCCAGAAGGAGGTGTACTTCGGTGAGCGCCCCCGCCCCCCACCGCGGCCCCCCCGAGCCCGGCCACGGGAAAGCGCCCCGTCCGCGGCCGCCGAGTGTGCAGACGCCCTGCGTCTCCCGCCTCCGGGTCTCCCCATCTTTAGTCCGGGTTTCTCCTGCCTCCTCCTCCTGGGCGCAGCCTGGGCGGGGACCCCGAGGGGAGAAGGATCGCGGGGTCCGGCCGCCCCTCCCAGCCCCGCGCCGAGTGAAAACAGACCCGGAAACCCGCGCCCCGGGCGCTGTCCCCGGCGCTGCGGCCCCGCGGGGGCCGCCTTCCCGCCCTGCGCCCGGGTCCCACCCGCCGGGTCCCGCCCTGAGAGGCGCAGGAGGAAGTGGGAAGTCGGCGGGGCCACGGAGAGGGCGCCCCGCAGGCCCCACCCCGCGGGTGCAGAGTCTGAGGGCTCCGCCCCAGCCAGGCCTCCTGACCCCCAGGCCCGCCCGCAGCCCAGGGCCAGCGCCCTCCCATCTGCTTGGCTGGACGCACCCGCACCCCGGGGACTGGAGGGCCAAAGGCCATCGTGCCCTGGCCGCTGTGGCTCAGTGGATAGAGCATCGGCCTGCAAACTGAAGGGTCCCGTCAAGGCCACCACAGGTCGGCCTCGGGCTGCATCCCCAATGGGGGCCTGCAGGAGGCAGCTGATCAATGAATCTGATCATTGAGTCTCTCCTTCTCCCTTCCTCTCTGAAATCAGTAAAAATATTTAAAAACAAACAAACAAAACCCACAAAGGCCATTGAGACTTGGGGTGGGGCCCGGGCGGAGGTGGCCAGAGAGCGGGAGCGAGAGGAGGGGTGCGCCCTGCGCCCCAGGGCAGCGTCTCAGGGGAACCTGTCTGCCCTTTTGCAGCCGAGCGGGTGACGTCCCTGGGGAAGGACTGGCACCGGCCCTGCCTCAAGTGTGAGAAGTGCGGGAAGACCCTGACCTCGGGGGGCCATGCCGAGGTAGGCGGGGCCTGAGGGCAGCAGGGGTGGGGGAGAAGGGGGGGGACAGCCCCTCATGGCCTCTCTCTCTGCAGCATGAAGGCAAGCCCTACTGCAACCACCCCTGCTACGCGGCCATGTTCGGACCCAAAGGTAAGCTCCCCGAGGCCCCATGGGCCCCCCACGCCGGACCCAGCCGCCCAGGCCTCTGGCCACCTCTCACCTGCACGCTGTTTTCTCTGTAGGCTTTGGTCGAGGTGGCGCTGAGAGTCACACCTTCAAGTAGACCCAGGTACACCCCACCCTGATCCCCAGACCAGCCAGCCCTCAGGATGGCCCTTCACCCCCCGCCCACCCCCCGTCCACCCCCCCGTCCTGAGCGAAGCCTGCCCCTACCTCTGCCCCTGTCTCCCCGCAGGTTGTGGAGACCCCACCCCTGGCTGCCCCCTGGACCTGGACTGCTGCCCCTCCAGGCTGATGCCCAGCCGTAACTCCTGGGGCTCCACAGACCCCACGCCCTCAATAAACCCGAACGGGAAGCCTGCCTGTGTGTGCCTGTTGTTGGGGGGGGGGGGGGATCCTGACGCGGCACCCTGTGCCCTGGGGGGTCTGCAGGGGCCACTGCAGGCTGCAGCGCCCTCTGCGGGGAGTGGCTGGCCACCCTGGGCAGCCCCATGGGGCCCAGCTCTCAGGCCCCAAGGTGCCCAGCCCCATGGGGCGAGGGGAAGGCATGGGCAGCCAACAGGTCAGCGGGAACACCAGGCCCCGGGGCAGGAGTGGGAGGCCAGTGCAGGGTGAGTCAGCTGAGCTCGCGCTGGTTCCGGTTTTGAGCTTCGGGGAGCTGTGGTGGGGTGTCCTCGCCCGCCCTCCCCACTTCTTGCTGACCCAACCCTGTTCCCATCCTCACTCATCTCCCCACCGGACACCACTGCCCCTCACTGGCCTCGTTCCCGGGACTACCCAGTGGCCGCCGCCGAATGGGGCATTTGAGGACTGGCTGTGCAGTGACCACTGGGGGCTTTTTGGAAACTCCCATGTCAGTTCGGCCGCAGCTGGGGACTTGGCCAACCCCAGAGCCCTCCCCACGTCCCCTGCCCCCCCCCCGCCTCCCCCCCCAGCCCGCCACTCCCCCTTCGGCCTGCAGCCGCCACTCCTCCCTCCGGAGTCTCTGCTGACCTCTCTGCTGAGAGAGCCAGAGGGGTGATCTCAGCCTGAGGCCGCTGCCCCAGGGCCTTGGTGGGGCTCCTGCAGGCCTGGCCCGACAGGCTGGGGGCGGACAGGCCGGGGGAGGGGGTGTGTGTGTGGGGGGTGCGGACAGGCTGGGGGGCCAACAGGCTGGGGGCGGACAGGTTGGGGGGGCGAACAGGCTGGGGGGGCGGCGGGCGGGGCTGAAAGGCAGCTCGCAGTGAGGGGTGTGAGACAGACAGGCGGGTGATTTGCCCTGGCCAGGCAGCTCAGTTGGTTGGAGCGTCCCGGACATCGAAAGGTTTAGTTTCATTCCCACTCAGGGTATGTACCTAGGTTGTGGGTTCGATCCTCCCTCGGGACATGTATGGGAGGCAACTGATAGATGTGTTTCTCTCCCTCCCTCTGAAAATCGATAAAAATATAGCCTCGGGCCGTAGCTGGTTCTCAGTGGTTAGAGCGTTGGCCTATGACCCAAGGGTCCGGGCTGGATTCTGGCCAAGGGCACGTACCTCGGTCGCAGGCTCCTCCCCGATCCGGGCCCTGGTTGGCGCTTGTGCAGGAGGCAACCAATTGATGTGTTTCTCTCACACTGACGCTTCTCTGTCTCTCTCTCTTCCACTCTCTCTAAAAATCAATGAAAAAATATTCTTGGGTGAGGATTTAAGAAAAAAAAAAAAGGAAGATGGAGTGACTCACTGAATTCCCAGAGGTGGGAGCTAGGGAGGCTGGGGCAGCTGAGGCGAGGTTCTCAGCGGACGGAGTGGGCTGGGCTGGGACAGTGGGCAGCAGGGGCACAGGACAGTGTGTCCCGAGCTGACGGGACACGGATCGCTGGATGGCAGCAGAGGTCCCCCAGGGGGCAACTTGGGGTGAGTGTGGAGAGCGCTGGCCTGCAGGGAGAGCCGGTCAGCCAGGCCTCTGGCCGCTGTGGAGCGAGAAGGCAGGGCCAGACTGGACGCCGGTGCTGTTCTCAGCCTGAGCTGAGGCTGGACCTGGGACCTGGGACGGGACTGATGGGGGGCCAGAGAGCAGGCCGCACGCCCTGAGCTGGTAAATGGGGGGAGGGGGGTTCCAGGGCGGGGGACCCAGGGCACCTGAGGAGGAGGCTGGGGAAGGAGGTCAGTTATGGGGGCACAGGGGTGAAGAGCTGGTTGTGCCTGAGAGGCAGGTGAGCAAAGGCGAGGACTAGGAGGGAGACGGGGTCAGGCGTGTCCGCAGTTTCTGTGGGTTTGGCGGGGGTCAAGACTGACTTCCTTCTCTCTCTCCTCTCCCCTCCCCCCCCACACTCTGTCTTATTTACAGCTTTGAGGTGTCACTTACATGCCATAAACGGCACCTGCACACATTCAATGGCGTGTAACCAGTTCACAGGCTGCTGCAGCCTCAGTCCACAAAAGTTCCCTCGTGCGCCGCCCCGGGCCTCCAGGCCCAGCCGCCCGCCCCGTCCCTGCACCCGCGCGTTTCCGGACACGTGCGGACGGTGCACGGACGGGGCAGCACGAGTGCCTCCGGGATGGGCTCCCGCACAGCCGGCCGCCTGGGCTGCGGGTGCACAGAGCCGCGGTGACTTCCGTGTCCGTGGGCACCGTCTCAGGCTCCGGGACGGGCTGTCGGGGGAACACGCGGCCGCCCACCCGCTTTCCCAGGTTCCTCCAAAGACTCTTCGGGGGCGGGAGGGAGGGGGAGCTGGCGGTCGGGACACAGGGGGCTGGTGTACGGGCCGGGCCGGGAAGCTGGGCGTGAGGATCTGCGGGGAGAGCCTCTGGCCTCCCGGCGGAGCCCCCCCCCCCACCCGCCCCGAGCACGGCGGGGCTGAGCTGCGGGGGGGGGGCGGGGGGGCTGAGCTGCGGGGGGGGGGCTGAGCTGCGGGGGGGGGCGCGGGGGGGCTGAGCTGCGGGGGGGGGGGCGGCGTATCCAGGGCCCGTCCCCGCCACCCGGTCCCGGTGCGCGCTGCGGGCTCGAGCGCCCCCTGGCGGCCAGACCCGAGAGGGCGCCGCGGAGGTCGGTGCTGCCCATTTGCGCGACCCTCGCGGCGGCCGGGGTGCCCCGAGCGCGGCCTCGGACCCTGCGGCGGCGGCCAGGATACCGCTCGGGGGAGGCGCTGATGGGGGTCTGGGCCGGCGGGGTCGGGTGCGGCCGCTTTGGGCCGCACAGAGCGGACCCCGGGAGCTGTGAAGGCCGATTGGTTCAGCTGGGCCGGAAGTGCCTCCGCAGCGGGCTGGACGGACGGCACTCACACGCCGGGGCCGCCGCTCATTGGGCCGGGGCCGGGGGCGTGGCCAGGCCCGCGCGGGGATTGGGCGCGGGAGCGGCAGAGGCGGCACCGGCGCGGGGATTGGGCGCGGGCACCCGCCGCGGCGGAGCGCGGTCGTTCAAGGCCCGCGCGGGCTGCATGGGGCGGCGGCGGCACCTGGCGGACGCGGCTGGGGCTCTGCCCGAGGCCATCGCCGCGCTGAGCCGCTCGCTGCCCGCCGGGCCCAGCCCCGAGATCTTCCGCCGCGCCAAGTTCGACCGTCCGGAAGCGGTGAGGCCCGCGGGGCAGGCGGCCAGGCCCGGTGGGGCCCCGGGCGGACGCTGGGAGGCCCCGGGCCTGCTGACCGCCCCGCTCCGTCCCCGCAGGCGCCCGCACTCTGGCGGCTGCTCTTCCGCGTGCTCTCGCTGCTGCGGGCTGACCGCGCCTCGGCCTCGCGCGCCCCGGGTAAGCCCCGCCCCTCCAGCCCCGCCCGGGTGGGCTCGGCACCACCCACGAGTCACGGCCCCGCCCACTCGGGTAAACCACGCCCCGCGCCACGCCCATCCCGTGTGAGCCCTGTCTAGGTAGCACCCGCTTTCGGGGAAGCGTTCACGCCCCTTAGGCTTTGGCCCCGCCCACCCTCGCAAGCCCCGCCCCGTAGGTCCCACTTAGCCCCCGCCCACCAATAAGCCCCGCCTCTCCACCCAGGTTAAGCCCCGCCCCTCCAGGCTGATTTTGGGAGTCGTGGGGGTGTCCCTTAGGGCCGGGGTGCAGCGGGCGCCCCCTGAGCTGGCCTCCTGCCCGCAGAGGCCCAGGCCCGCTGGGTGAAGGCGGCGCTGCGCGCCCAGGGCTACCCCCGGCTCGGGCTGGCTCGGCTCCCCGAGGACGGGTCCCAGGGCAGCCGCGAGCTGCTCCTGGCCCTCGCCTGGCTCCTGGCCCGGGAGCCCCTGCCCGAGCGGCTGCTGGCCCAGACCCGCGTGCGGCTGGGCGACGAGATGCCTGTGTGTGAGGTGAGTGTGGGGTGAGGGTGAGCCTCCCACCCGTGGCCCAGACCTCGGGTGCGGCCGCCAGACTTGTGGGGACAGCCCGGTGTGGGGGGTCGGTGTTGTCATCCTGGCTGCCCAGGTGAGGACAGAGGCAGGGCTGCCCCTGGGCCCCGCCTCTGCCCGCCCTCCTCCAGGGCAGGGAGTGTGCCCCCGGGCTCTGGTCCTGGCTCTTCCCCTGGCACCCTGGGGACCCCACGGCGCTCAGCCTCCTTTCTCGTTCCCCTTCTGGGCCTGACCTGTGCTCCCTCTCCAGTGTGGGGCCCTGGCCAGCCCTGGCCAGCCTGCACCGCGGGTGGACACCGCCGGCCCTGTGGACGTGCGCCGCCTGCAGTGGCTGATGGGAAAGCTGCGATTTCGGTGGCGAAACTTGATGGCCAGTCAGCAGGAGCAGTGCGCCCTCCTGGGCAAGGTAGTGCCTCCGGAGGCCTGTCCACGCAGGGCAGTTACCCCCGGCTCCGGGCTGCCCGGCTCCTCTCCCTGCCTGTGGCCTGTCCCTCCAGGCCCTGCATGGGCGGGGCCTTGGCCTTTGGCTGATGAGGACCTCCCGGGCCTGGCCGGGGGGCTCACTGGTTGGCCACTGCGGGGAGCCTGAGCCTGGGGCTCCAGGTGCTCCAGGAGGGGGCCTAGGGCAGGTGGGGCTGGACATGGCTGGGACAGGGAGCCAGTGGGGCAGGAGCCAGTGGGGCGGGGAGCCTGTGGGGCGGGGAGCCGGTGGGGCGGGGAGCCGGTGGGGCGGGGAGCCGGTGGGGCGGGGAGCCGGTAGGACTGGGAGCCGGTGGGGCAGGGAGCCGGTGGGGCAGGGAGCCGGTAGGACTGGGAGCCGGTGGGACTGGGAGCCGGTGGGACTGGGAGCCGGTGGGGCAGGGAGCCGGTGGGACTGGGAGCCGGTGGGGCAGGGAGCCGGTGGGACTGGGAGCCGGTGGGGTGGGGAGCCGGTGGGACTGGGAGCCGGTGGGGCAGGGAGCCGGTGGGACAGGGAGCCGGTGGGACTGGGAGCCGGTGGGGCGGGGGGCCGGTGGGGCGGGGGGCCGGTGGGGCAGGGGGCCGGTGGGGCAGGGAGCCGGTGGGGCAGGAGCCGGTGGGCTTGGCTGTCCTGTCCACCGAGATTCCCAGAAGCCTCAGGTTGGTGTCACTGAGCAATGCCACGGGCTTAGGCCTGGGGGAGTCACGGCCTGGGCAGCTGCCCCTCTCGCTGTGTCCTGGGTGTGGGCTGGTGGGCGGTGGGCAGCTCCTGTAGGTTCTTGAAGGCCGATAGGGCTCAGCCGGTGGGCACAGGTGTCCCCCACAGGTCCAGTGCCAGTTCTGGGCTGGGAGTTGGCTGGGCAGGTAGCCTTGGGCTCCCTCCTCGGTGCGGGACCCCTCCAGCCTGCATGTCCATCCCAGCACAGGGTCTTCTGCTTGGCTGGCCCCCCGGGACCCCTCACTCCCTCTTGCCTGGCCTCGGCTCCAGCCACTCCTGCAGCTGGGGGCACGGCCACCTTCCGGCCTCACTGGCGGCGCAGCCCGCTCTGCCCCCCAGGCCACACAGGCTGCTCCGGGCCCCGCCTTCGGCCCCACTGGACCACGAGCCCGTCCACAGGCTGTTTCTCTCACCACACGGTCCTGGCACTTGGCGAACTGAGGAGGGAAGGAAGCAGAGGTGGCCCTCTGCACCCCTGTGCCCCCGGAGCTGGGTGGGGTTGGGAGGCTGTGGGGGAGCTGCCCAGGGCCCCTCGCTCTGCAGGCTCTGGGCCAGCGCGGTCCCTGCAGTGGAGGACGGTCCTGCCTGGGGCCGACTTGGCAGGTGCATCCCCTCACCTGTGAGACGCCCTGAGGGGCCCTGCTCAGCCGGGCCCTGTGCTGCTCGTTCCAGATCCACGCGTACACCCGTGGCTGCCACGGCGACCGCAGCCTCGGCCACCTGTCTGTCGCCGAAACGGAGCTGCTCAGGGACCCGGAGGGCGGCCGGCAGGTCAGGGCTGGTGCTTGCGGTGGGAGGGACCTGTTCCTGTCTGCCAAGCTCGCCATCTTGCCTGTGTTGGGGGGCCTCTCCCACCCCTGGGCCATCCCGGGGCAGGAATGCAAACCCGCTGCTCTGTGCCCACAGGGGCGGGGCCAGGGAGGTGCTGGGATTAAGGCAGACCACCCAGTGTCCCAGCTGATGGTGTTGGCACCTCGGGCTCATATTGCCTGGTGATGGGGACGCCTGAGTGGCCTGCTCTCTGGTTTGCGCTGCAGCTGCTGCAGAGGCTGGAGAGCGAGAACGCCCGCCTAGAGGCTGCGCTGGAGTGGCGGCGGCGGGAGCTGGTCTTCTGGCAGTGGATGGTCAGGACCCTGAGACCCGCCGCCTCCCTCCCTCCCTCCCTCCCTCCCTCCCTCTTTCCTTCCCTCCCTCCCGGCCTGGACCACAGCCACCCAGGGCGTGGGGAGTGGGAGGCCCGCGGTGCTGTGCCTGGGGCTCCTTCCAAATGTCCAGTGGTCCCCTCACTGCCAGCTGTGGGGGAGCTGACTTCTCGGGTTTGCAGGCCACCTGGGTGCTGGTAGCTGCCCGGCTTGCTGTGTAGCCTGGGCCTCCGCACCCCCCCCCCCCCCCCCCGGCTGGGTGCTGGGTCTGGGCTGTGCGTGTGGTGCCCAGGCCTGTGCCGCCCTCACTCGGGTCTCTCTCTGCAGGACACGGTCCTGGGGGCCTGCCCCCCGGAGGCCTCGCAGCCCACGTTCCCGCCCCGTCTCCGAGGGCGTGGGCGCAGGGCCGGTGCATGGGGCCCGGTGGCATGGGAGCTGCAGGCCCTGCAGGAGGAGCTCCAGGCGGCAGTGGGAGCCCGGCGGGCGGCCTGGGCGGCCAGGGTGAGGGCGCAGGGCTGCCGGCACGCGTTCACAGACCACGGGAGTTCACGTGGGTTCCGGAGCGTGGGTGGTGTGCTCAGTTGTCAGACTCCAACGGAGGAGGAGGAGGTGCACTGGCGGGCCCCACCCAGCTCCCGTCCCAGGGGCCTGTTCAACCTGCTGGTGGGCAGGGAGGGGCAGCACCTGAGGCATCTTGAACTGTGGGCGGGTTTCCCCAAAGTCTTCAGTGTGGCCTGAGGGCCCGGCTCGAGGGGCCTGGGGGTCTTGCTGCTGTTCAGGCGCTCCCCCCCCAGGCGGTGACAGCTGACACCTGCCGGGGGATTTGTACAGGAACGGCTGGCACTTGTCCTGGCTCAGGGCCCTTGATGCTTTCCTGCTGGGAACCCCCGGGGTCAGGGCCAGGGCGTTCTCTGGGGCCATGGGTGAAGCCTCCCCGCCAGCACTGGTGGCCTCAGCCGGCTGCACCCTCAGTCCAGTGTCCCTCTGTCCAGTCCCACCTCCCCCTCCCCCTCTTGGAATCAGGACGGGGGGGGGGGGGGGGCGGGGGCTGGGCTGCCCTGGAGTGGCAGGTGGGGCTGAGGTGGGTGTCCCCGGGGTGTGTGTCCTGGGGGGGTCTGAACTCTAAATGGGCCCCAAGTCGTGCCCCCAGACTCCACCCGGGAGAGCGAGGTGGGCCTGCAGCTGGTGACCCTGAGGGCGTGGGTCCTGCAGGACTGGGGGGGTCAGGTTGTTGCCCTGTTGCCAGGAGCCCACAGCTGCTCGGGGTGCAGGGTGGGGGGAGGGTGACGCAGGGCCCGGAAGGGCCGGCCTTGGAGCTGGTGCGGGGTTGGCCTTGCTTCCCTGGGAGCCGTGGGATCAGGGCGCGTGGGAGCCGTGGGGCCCCTGGGGGCGTGCCAGGCCCCGAGTGCGAGGGCCCTGAAGCCGTGTCCCGGGGCTGTGGCTGCTCTTGGCGCTCATGTCACCGGCTTCTCCCCTTGCAGGTCGGAGGCCAGGGGCCGGAGTGGAGCGCCGCTCGGCAGGCTGCACAGGAGGCCGTGGGCCGGGAGCTGGCAGCCCTGCGGCAGGCCTGGGCGCGAGGTGGGGGCCGGGCCCAGCCCCACAGGCCCCACCGGCTGGTGAGGACCGAGGCTGGGGGGCCAGGGGGCCCGGGCCTGCGGGCTGCTGAGGTGATCGGGGTGCTGAGGAGCCGGGAGGCCTGCCTGGAGGAGATGCTGTGCCAGCTCCAGGAGCAGTGCCGGCAGCAGCTGGCCAGGCTGGCGGGAGCCCTGCCTGGCCTCATCTGGATCCCGCCGCCCAGACGCTGAGGCCCTGCTGCGTGGCCGTGGGGCCCACGGAGGAGCGGCACCCTGGGCTCCGGCCCTGGCCCCTCCCTGCTTTGGACAGAGCTCAGCCCCTCGGCACCAGTAGTGGGAGCGGCATGGGCGTCCCCCCGCCTGGGTCAGGACACGTCCAGCGCAGGGGCCGTGGGCTTGGTGGGTCGAGCGAGGACTCAGAAGCGGAGACCTCCCTGCAAGGCCCAGCTAACGGCCGTCCCTGTCTGGACACGGGTGGGGAGGGACCCTGGGCAGTGGGGGCCAGAGGAGCCGGGCGTTGGAGCGACAGGTGTGGCCTGTAGCCCGGGTGGTGCCAGGGCCCTGGGGGCAGGCATTGCCCTGGGCGCCCCCTGGCTGTCTGCTGTCCCTCATCCTGGCTGCCATGCCACCTGGGCTGGGCCTGCGCCTGGTGTTTGTGGGGGCCATGGGAGCTGGGGCGGGGCCTGCGCCTGGTGTTTGCGGAGGCGCATGGGAGCTGGGGCGGGGGCAGCGCCGGGTGAGGGGGAGGCCACCGTGGACAGAGGGGCTTTGTGCCTGAGGCTGCTGGCCCTGACAAAGAGACATCTGTGTGCGGGACGTGCCACTGCTGGAACCCCTCCCCGGAGACGCAGGCAGCCTCAGCCCTGTCCCCCAGCAGCCCCCCACCTCCCAGGGCCGTCGAATCCCAGATCCCCACCTGCTGCTGGGCAGGTGAAGGGCCGGTGGGTAGGCTACCTCCTGCTGCTGCCACTGGCCAGCTCAGGTCCAAGGCCACTCCTGGGCCTCTGGCCCCACCCCCTCCTAGTCTCATCAGCTTCTCCTGCCTGCCCGGGGTGGGGGAGGGGGTGGGGAGGGGGTGGGGGGGATGCTGGACCCACAACATGGGCAACAGCTCCTCAGCCAGTCCCTGGCCGACCAGGTGGTGGCCAGCAGGCCTGTCAGGAGCCACCCCTGGCCTTGTCCTTGTGGGGCTGGACCCCAGGGAGTGCCTGGGCCTGTGCCCGCCCTCCTGGCCTGGAACCCTCCCTCTGGTCCCTCAGCGCCCCCCCCCAGCCCCTCTCAGGTCTTGTCATCCCTGCTGGCTCAGCCGGGCCCTCTGACGGTGTGAGGTCACTGGTGCCCTGAGGCATCCTGACCCCAGCGGGACCCTTCCACCTGAAACCCCTGCCTCGTGGGGGCTGCCATCGGCCAGGACGGCCTGGGCCCTGCGACCTTGGTTCATAGGGACCCAGACGAGAGTTATTGTTACGGGACTGTCACTCCTCAAACTGACCTGTGGGGAATACACTCCATCATGGCACCCGTGTCCTGTGACTTTAGTGGCCGATCGTGACCCGCGAGGGGCCCGGCCCGGGACGCAGTCCCCACGGCGCCGGCTCCTCCGAGGGCTGCTGTGACCGGAGCCCAGGGGCCCTGCCGCTCTGAGGTCTGAGCAGCTCTCCACGCGGGCACCAGGTGGGCAGGTGGCAGGTCGGTCCCCACACAGGCTGCCGTGTCTGACTACTTCCGAGGGGCCACGCGAGCGCATTGCCCCCAGCTCCAGGCAGCCTCCGCCCCTGCTTCGTGTGACGTGACAGTTCACAGGCCTGACCCAGGACCCGCACCCAGCACCCCCCCCCCCCAGAGCTGACACCTGCCCCCACCCCCAGAGCTGACACCTGCCCCCACCCCAGAGCTGACACCTGCCCCCCCCCAGAGCTGACACCTGCCCCCCCCCAGAGCTGACACCTGCCCCCACCCCAGGGCTGACACCTGCCCCCACCCCAGGGCTGACACCTGCCCCCCAGCCAGCCGAGACCAGCGGGACAGCCCTGCAGGAAGTGGGGCTGGTCTGTGAGGAGGCTGCTATCCGCAGGCCACAGAGCGTGCAGACCGGCCGGAGCGGGAGGATTTATTCGTGGCTTTTTAGCTGATAGACTTGGTGTGGAGAACAGAGAACTATCACTCATTGTGAAAAACAGACAAAACACAAAATGAGCAAAATCCCAGGGCGGGCACCTCAGAGAGGAAACGGGAAGTCAGATAACTGAGTCAGAATGTTTACCTTCTGTAACCAGGGACAACCAGGGTCGGGCCCAGCGCCCTGGCAGCATCGGACCGAGGGGTGGGCGCACGTGGGCTTGTGCGGACGCCCAGGCCCCTGATGGAGTGAACCCCGTCATCCAGAGCACCCCTTCTCCCCAAACTGGGCCCTGCCCCGTCACCCCTCCCCCGGCTGAGCCCCACCGTCCACCGTCTGTCTCCAGGGTGTGACTCCTCCAGGGACCCGCGTGGGTGGGTCACAGTGCTCGTCCCGTGTCTGGCTTGTTTCATTCAGCACGATGTCCTCACGGCCCCTCTGTGTTGTGGCAGGTGTCAGATGTCTGTCTTTTTTTGTTTTTTAAAAAAAGTATATTTTTATTGATTTCAGAGAGGGAGAACCATGGATTGGCTGCCTCCTGCACGCCCCACACTGGGGATGGAGCCTGCACCCTGGGCCTGTGCCCTGACCGGGAATCAAACTGTGGCCTCCTGGTTCATAGGTCAACGCCCAACCTCAGCCACACCGGCCGGGCATCGTCCCCTTTTAAAGGCTGAGTGATGCCCGAGCCCAGGGGTCCTCAAACTCCGGCCCGCGGGCCACATGCAAACACAAATATTGTATTTGTTCCCGTTTTGTTTTTTTACTTCAAAATAAGATATGTGCAGTGTGCATAGGAATTTGTTCATAGTTTGTTTTTTTTTTTAAACTATAGTCCGGCCTCCCAACGGTCTGCGGGACGCTGAACTGGCCCCCTGTTTAAGAAGTTTGAGAACCCCTGCCCTAGCCAGCTTGGCTCAGTGAATAGAACATCGGCCTGCCGACCGAAGGGTCGCAGGTTCGGTTCCTGTCAAGGGCACGTACCCCAGTTGCAGGCTCCATCCCCGGGCCTGGTTAGGGGGACAAGTCCTAAACCACCAATCGATGTTTCTCTTCTCCCCTCCACTCTCTAAATCAATGGGAACGTATCGTTGGGTGAGGAATAACAAGAACTGAAAAAGGCTGAGCACTGTGCATTGTGTGGATGGGCCAGTTTGCTTCACCCGTGGCTTGTGCCCACGGGTGTGTCCACGTCTCTGCTGCTGTGACTGGTGCGTGGACTTCCCTTTCTAGTTTGGGGGTCTGGCTGTCTGGACCAAGAGCCAGGTGTGCGTGTGATGGCACCACTGTGGTCCCCAGGGTGCTGGTGTGTGGTGGGGAGGGGCCAGGTGTGGGCTGAGGTCTTTGGCCGGCACTGCCCACCTCTGAGGCTCCCACACTCTCTTCCACGGCGTCGTGGCTGCTCAGCAATTTTTCCCAGCGCCCTCGGCCAAAACACACACCTAACAGCTGTTTACAGAGCCAACAACTTGAGTATTTAGGTCCTAATGACCTGGTAGCAGTTCAGGAAAAAAACAAAAACAAAGCAACAATAGCACATATTATTGGGAAAAAAACAACGAAACCCTTAATTCTCTGATAGCTGCACTTCCTTACTAACAGAGTGTCTGGCCCTGCACCCCTTCTCAAGCTCAGTCAGCTAGGGTGCTGCCGCCCGAGTCACCTTGTGCCACCTGTGACAGCAGCCTTGCAGTGCAACCCAGGATTGGAACTCAGAACTCAGTCCAGCCCTAGCCGGTTTGGCTCAGTGGATAGAGCATCAGCCTGCAGATGCAAGGGTCCCAGGTTCGATTCCAGTCAAGGGCATGTACCTTGGTTGCGGGCACATCCCCAGTGGGGCCTGTGCAGGAGGCAGCTGATCGATGTTTCTCTCTCATCGATGTTTCTAACTCTCTATCCCTCTCCCTTCCTCTCTGTAAGAAATCAATAAAATATATTTTAAAAAATGAAAGAAAAGAACTCAGTGCAATCATTCACAAGGCCCCTAGCAAGGCCAGCACTGTGGTGTTTTCCTCGAAAATCCAAAACGCCTTAAAGTGCCTGAGAAGGCCCTATGGCACCCTGGGGTGCCGGGGTCCAGCCCCCGCGGTCCAGGGGTTCCCAAAGGTGTGGACAGCGTAGGCGAAGAATGAAGGACACGGAGACAGCATTCAGATGATCAGCATAGTCAGGTTCTTTTTCATTGTCCTGTTACCGCTGTATTTATACTACTCGATTCTATAAGCATGCCTCTATAGTTACATCATGGTATGTTTTGGGTCCTCCTTTGGCCTTCTACAGTTCCTTGTTTTATGTTTATAGTTTCTTATCTGACCTTTGCTAAAAATCTTATCTCCATCTAGCTCTGTTGATTTTAATCCTATCTGTTGTCTATGCTTCTACATTCTATTCCAAAGGGTAGTCTCTGTGTTCCATTATAAGGGCTAGTTTGTTATCTCCATTCCAAGGTCACTATCTCCTGCTCCACTGTGAAGCTACAAGGAAGTAACTGAGGGAGGTTTTCCTATTCTGTGGCCTAAAGGTTCTGTAACTTAAGCGTGATTGTTCCTGGCTCTGGTGACTAACTACCTGCCTGGCACTTAGTTGAAGTCTTTCTGCTTGCACAGCTCGCATTAGATTTTTAGATAAGGAGCTGCCTGCATTGTTTGCAGCGGTGTTTCTTTAACTGTTTGATGGTTGTCCTCTTAGCCTCGCTGGTGGTCTTCCCTGGGACTGCCCTGCGTCGGCGGGTTTTCAGGGGCATAGGCTTTGGTACTTTCTCTGGTGGGTAGACCCCTGGGGATGTGGGCCAGCAAGTCCTAAATTTATAGCCAACAGTCTTAGTCTGAGTTCCTCATAAGTAGTACACGGTATTTCTGTAACACTAGGGGGTTTTACTGATTTATTCCCTTCCCTAGTCTTGTTAATCCCTTTCCCAGGGAGGTGGCCATGGTTAGAACACACAGCGCTAAGAAGGGGAGCAAACATATTAAGAACAGTATGCCATAGACACCAGGTCCCTTGGAACACATGCTGTGCAGATGTTTCTTCCCTGCAGCGACTGTGTCAAACGGCAAGGATGGACCGGCTTCCAGCACTGGGGTGCCTTGGCACACACTTTGGGAACTGGGGCTCTAACTCCTGCAGTGTTTGTGTTTCCCGCTGAGCACTGTGATAAAGCCGGTCCCTGCCCTGCAGGCTCTTCTCTCGAGGCCCCGTGGGCGCAGGCGTGGGGTGTCCACGCAGGGGCAGACCCAGGGCACCTGCCAGCCCACCCCGGCCGCACCCCTCCCTCGTGCTCTCTGGTCTGCGGGCCGTGTCTCTGGTCCCCGCACCTGAGCCTCGCGCTGTGGGCTTCCTCCCTGCCAACGGCCTCCTCACACCCGTGGTCACGTGTCGGGGACTGCGGTCTCCCTGACGCTGCTCTGCAGGCTCTGAGGAGTCGAGATAAGGATCTCGTCGGTTTGCGAGTCATAAATGCCCCATCGTCATCCTGTTACAAACCTGCTGTGGTTTCCCTTGTGGAGCAGAAATGCAGGCTTTGTTTTAATCGAGCTCATCGCTATTTTGCATCTTGGTTTTCACAATTAACTTTTTCGTCCTTTTGGTTAATCCTCAGCTGAGGATATTTTTTCCTTTGATTTTTAGAGAGAGTAGGAGGGAGGGAGGAGAGAGAGAGGGAGGAACATCCATGTCAGAGAGACTCATCGATTGGTTGCCTCCTGCACACGCCCCACCAGGGCTGGAGTACAGACCTACACCCTGCGTGCCCTCGATGGGGAATCGAACCCAAGACCCTTCGGCTCATGGGCCGATGCCCTGCCACCGGGCGCCCGGCCAGGGCAGGCCGCTTTCCTTAGGAGGCGCCTCCCTCTCCAGGTCACAGGCTCCTGCGTCCCCTTACCATCTGGCCTCCGTCCGCTGGAGGCACCGCTGTAGCTGGCGTCACGTGGAGTCGTGTTTCTC